TTTTGTTGAGGGGTTCTAGGTGCTGAAAAATTATGGCTAATACTATTAGAATTACAAAACTCATTAAATCCAAGATTTTCAAATTCAGTGCCATGATCACTTCTAACACTAGTGATAGAGTAACCTTTTTCGTTTTGGATTACTTTTGAAAATGTGATGAAATTTTCTAATGATTAATCTTTAGTACTTAAGAATAGAACCCAAGTATATCTAGAATAGTCATCTACCAAGACAAATGCATATTGTTTTTCACCCAAGCTAGTAGTCCTAGTTGGCCAAAAAAGAATTATATGGATCAATTGTAATAATCTACTAGTTGACACATCATTAATGTATTTAAAAGAAACTCGCTTTTGTTTTCCTTTAGCACAAACATCACAGATTTTTATCATTATCAAATTTTAGTTTAGGCAGCCCTCGAACCAATTCTCCTTGAACTAACCATTGCAAAACACTCATGCTAGCATGTCCTAGTCTCCTATGCCATAACCAACTATCATGCTCATCATTTGCAACTAGACATAAATTAGTCATTTCTATAGAGTCTAAATGCACCATGTATATGTTTCTTATTCTATGACCAACAAGCATAATCCTATTAGATGCAATGTCAATGACTTTAGAACCATTAGTTTCAAATATGACATTGAATCCCTATTCACATAATTGACTAATACTCAAGAGATTATGCTTTAATCCATTCACATATAACACATTTTTAATTTGTATGGAAGAGGTATTACCTATTGTACCTATACCTTTAATGTGACCTTTTGAATCATCACCAAAAGTCATTTCTCCTCCATTTTTGGCGTTAAGCTCTATGAACCGGTTTTTGTCCCCGGTCACGTGTCTCTAGCATCCACTATCAAGGTACCATGAATTTAGATTTGTTTCCCGTGCCTTGTAGCAATGCTCCTTTTCCTATAAACATAGATTAATTTTTGATTTTTGGTACCCAAATTCTTTTGGGTCCATATTCATTAGTTTCCAAAATCCTAGTCCCCTTAGGTATCCATTTGTGTAGGATATCTTTATCTTTAGTATTAATGAGTTCTTTAGGAACCCACATACTTCTAACGATTTTTCCATTAGAGATTCTTCGGGGACCTCTATGATTGTAGTTTTTAAAACTTTTTCTAACAAAGTTGGATTTTGAATTTTCTCCTTTTTCAAAATGTTTTGTTCCAACTTTATCAAAAGAAACTTTAAGATCATCAATTTTCTTTTGATGATCATCATTGATCTTTGAAAGAAAATTTTGCAAATCCAATTTTTTCTTTTCAAACTCTTCTAGTTTGATTTGCAAATCTTTGATTTTACTTTCAAGATCGTTGTTGGTTTTGGATATGAGTTTATTTTCATTTTTAATTTTGAAATATCATTTTTATGTTTTAAAAATAATTTCTCATAATCTGAAGCCAACCCATTATATTCCTCTAATAGCTCATCATAAGATAAATCATCAAAATCAGATGAGTTAGAGGTTACCTTAGAATCTTCCCCGAATGCCATCAAGCACAAGTTTGCTACTTCTTGTTCCTCTTCATCGGAACCTTCTTCATCGCTCCATGTAGCCACATGAGCCTTGTGCTTATTCTTTGATTGACCCTTTCTCTTCAATTATGGGCAATCATATTTGACATGCCCCGTCTTTTTGCATTCATAGCAAATGATCGGGTCCTTCTCTTTTGGTTCATTTTTGAGGCCTTCATTTCGTTTGAATTTTCTTCCTTGGTAAGGTCTCATCATTTTTCTGAACCGTTTGGCAAACAATGCCATTTCCTCATCATCGTCATCTTTATTCGAATCACTCTCATCTTTTGTGGACTTGAGAGAAACTCCAATGTTTTTTCTCTTTTTCTTCTCCTTTTGTGTCTCGTCAATCTTATCGAGGTCCACCTCATCTTCAAGCATCATTTCATGAGTGAGGAGGGAACCGATTAGTTCTTCAAGAGTTAAGGACGTTAGGTCCTTAGACTCGATGATTGTCGTCTTCTTTGATTGCCATGATTTTAAAAGGGAGTAAACTAACTTCCTCACAAGCTTTTCATTTAAAATGATCTCTCCATATGATTTGAGACCATTGACAATCGTTGAGAATCTATCCGTCATAGCTTTGATATCTTCATTTGGTTTCATCCTGAAATTTTCATAGCTATGCGTTAGAATACTAATTTTAGATTTCTTTACCTCATCAGTACCTTCATGAATGACTTGAAGTTTGTCCCATATTTCTTTGGCGGTTGTACAAGATAAAACTCTTCCGTATTCATCTGGTCCAAGAGCACAAAATATGATATGGATGGCTCTGGAGTTGAGCTGGAACATTTTTGTCTCTCATTCACTCCACAATCTTGGATGAGTGAGAGGCTTGATGTATCCTTGTTCTACGACATTCCATGCTCCCAAGTCACTTACTTGAATGAACTACATCATCCTATTTTTCCAATAGGCATAGTTAGCCCCATTGAAGAAAGAAGGCTTGTTGACGGGCATCGAATCGAGACCGGAGTCGAAATTTAAAGTAGAGGCCATTGATGACTTTGATTATCGATGTAACTCTTCCCAAATCGACTCAAGAGGCGATTAAACCTTCAAATGAGTGAGGCTCTGATGCCAATTGTTGAGTTAATTGATTGAAGAAATCGGCCAAGAGAGGGGTGAATTGGTAATTAAAATTTTGTGGAAGCTTTTGCAGAATATTGAAAGTAATTGCACAACGATTTAGAGTGGTTCGACTTTATCAACCAAAGTCTACGTCCACTACCTTAGCTATCCACACTAAGGATTTTCCAACAAATTCACTAATTTGTTCTTTCTTTTGAGGCCAAAGAGATAACCTTACAACTCCCTCAAGAATATACCCCAATTCTTGAGAACACTCTTTTCTCAAAGAGAATATTACAAATTTGCAAACTTACAAGAAAAACCTCACAAGGCAAATATGTTTGCACAATTCTAGAACAAAGAAAGAACACTCAAGAATAAATACAATTGAGCAAGGTAAGTGTTCTTGAAAGAAAAATGAATATTGAATGAAAAATAGGATTGAAATGCTCAAACTTGAGGTTTGATGCTTTCTCTTTGATTCTCTCTTGATTATAGTTTCTTGATATTTCTTGTTGTTGATCAATGGCTTCTAAGCTTGTTTAAATACACCTTGAATCACTTCTAAACGTTAGGGATCATTAATGAAGTTATTGGAGTCGTTTAAGTGTGAAAACAATTAATATTTCTGCTTGAAGCGTGGGGGGAATCGGTACCCCTCATGGGGAATCGGTTCCCTAAGTGTAAAATTCAAATATTTCGACCGTTGAACAGGGGGGAATCGGTACCCCTGGGGGGAATCGGTACCCCTGGGGGGAATCGGTTCCCTCTGAGCATACTGGAATTCTCAGAGCCAAATCATTCAGGGGGAATCGGTACCCCCTTGGGGGGAATCGGTACCCTCTGGACAAACTGTAATTTTTGGCTTTGAAACGGTTCGAAATACTTTGTAAAATTATTTTGAAATTATTTTAATATTAAAACTTAATTGTACACTTTAGTAAGGATTTAAAAATAAACTTTGAAATACTTTGAGTAATATTTTGATATTCGATTAATATATCAAATATGCTTTGAAAAATCTTTTTCAAAATTAAAATTCTTTTAATTTAATTTGTTATATCGAAACATCAAAATGTTTTCAAAAAACCTAAACAACTAAAATTGAATAAAGAGGTATAAAAACAAAATTCCAAGTCATATGTGAAGACAAGAGATCATCGAGAAAGCCAAAAGCAATCAATTGAAGCCAAAATCAAGTCAACATTCTTCAATATTCTTTTTTCCTTAAAGAACACTTTTGTACTCATTTGTTTCATTTTGTTGAGTGTTCTTCTTTGTTCTTGAATTGTGCAAACACACTCCTAGTGAGGTTTCCTAGTTTTCTATTTGTAATTTATTCTTAGGAAGAGTTAAACACTTAAGACTTTGGGATATAAGTCTTAGTGTTGTGTAAGGTTACACCTTGTCCTAAAAGGTTAGAACAAATTGGTGAATTTATTGAAATCTTTATTTGGGAAGCTAAGGTAGTGGATGTAAACTTCATTAAGGAAGTTGAACCACTCTAAAATCCTTGTACCAATTTCTTACTTCTTTCAAAAACTTCCAATAACTTTTTAATTTACCAATTCACCCCCTCTTGGTCATTTTCCTTGATCGATTGACTCAACAATTTCTCATTTCTTTAGTATTTATTTTGGCAATTGGAAGCTTGGAACTTGTCAGATTTTATGGGTGAAATGAATGAATTTTAGATTATTTATTTCTTTAAAATAGAATATTTTCCATGTTTGAATGTTCAAATTTAATACTTTACAAATGATTGCTAGGAATAAAGATAACCTACTCTTGTAGTTCTCAATATTATTTACCAATTTGGATTTTTCTGCATAGAAGGGAGTGATTAGCATTTTGCAGTATGTGTTAATTGTCACATTCAGTGTTCTGTAGGAAGCCAGTCAAATGCTTTTCTGGGTTACTGGTTTAATGTAAACATGACTCTACTTGCAATCTTATAGTCAACCTTACTATGGCTACCGAAACCCATCCTCTCTACCAAAAGCAGGGGGAAGGCTTCATACAATAGACAACACTAAGCCAACCCTTTCAGAGTTGAACAAATTTTCATAAGAAATAAAACTTAGTTGTTAAAGGTGAAAAGGTTTGCATAATAGAGATTATTTACATCAAGATGTTCTTAATTTTGCCTAAGTACTATTAAAATATGTACTTTGAATGCTTATTTCAAACATCATTTATCTGAGGGTGATAGTGAATTCTTGTTGTTTTCATGTGTTATATTCTTTTGAATGCTTATTTCAAATATTATTTATCTTAGTAATATTATCACACTTAGTCCTCTTTCCATATGTTCATTAAATTATTTTTGGTCTCTGTTGGAGGATTTTCTTTTTGTTTCTTACCAAAGTAGTAAAATTTTCCTTTGACAGGTGCCACTTTCGCATATTTATGATTTTTGATTTTTTTTATAAGACATCAGCTGATTGTATCAACCAACAATCCCTTGAGGCAATTGGTTTCTTCATCCTATGGTCTTTAGATATTATTCTTGAGGACTTGGTGGCCCAACAAGCAAGTGCTAAGGGCTCCAAAAAAGGTGTGCAACAGACGTCATCCAAGTTAAAGGTAGCTTCATTAGCGGGTCTGTTGTTAAATTGATTATTTTTTTCTTTTCTTTCAGGATTTTGATGTTGTCTGCTGTTGAGTACTTGACTTCATATTGGTAATTTCCTTTTGGATATTAGAAGTGCATTAGCTTTTTCATTTTATGCACCATTCGGTTGGATAATGCCTTTGTTAATGTGAAGTTTCCCTTGGTGGTGTACATTATAACTGACACTGACTATATGTTTTGAAAATCATGTTATATGGTTGATCCGGAAGTTTATTCCTTAATGGTTGCTTTTATTAAAAATTGGGAGGTTGAATTTCATTTCACCCCATAAAAATTGGTGGCGCTATTCTTGTGAGCCCATTACCTTTTACCGATCATTGGTGGCAAAAACTGCAATCCACAATCCATGGATCTGATTTTACAGCTGGTGGAATGGTACTAGAGCGTCTAAATTTTATGCCTTTTCCGGTTCTGAGTTTCAAGTACATAAGGCTTATTGGGTTCATTTCTTTGGTGAATCTTATCTACCTCAAAAGCTCGAACTATTTTAGTAAACGTTGCTGTTAGAAAAGGGGAACGCTTGGTACCACCATCGTCATTTGACATGCTAATGTGAGTTACCTTCCTTGCATCTTCAGCTAGAATAAAGATATATTAAGAGTTTGACCGAGTCCATTTGCTCTAGCCGCGGTTTGATTTAAATTCTTGTGTTTTCTCACTTCATCTAAGCTTTGTTATTACCTTATCGATGCAGGCAACCGAGATGTCTGAGGCCATATATCCCATACTAAAGGAAGCGACTCTCGCTGGTTCTCATGGAAGCAAAGCAATGAGACAAGCATCTCAGCAGATATTCAACTTTACTATCGTGGCAGCAGGAGAAAGTATGTCTCATTTTTGAAAATTCTACTTTCTTTGCAATTCCCCCTCCTTTCCCCCTTCAGTCCCCTTCCCCCACTTATTCTAATGGTTGTTTCAGCATCAAGGTTTACTCTTTTATCTTTTGTAAACAGGCTCTCTTGCTTTATTGAAAGATGCAGCTGAAATAGTTATTTGGTGTTTGAACCAGAATGATGAATGGTACAGGTAGTGGGTAAGCTATTTTACTGTGTTACCAAACACATTTATGAATGATGAACCTTTTATTTTTTTTCTATGTTATTTGTACTCATACATGTTCAGGGTTTCCCCTTCAAATGTATTTTGAATTTTTGAGGGCCATGTCACCATATCTATGTCCGTATATGTGTTGACGAGTGTTGGACACGGTACTTGAAGAAAAATAGAGTTAGACCACATGGGTTTTACTTATTTATCACTCTTGACCTCATGAGGGAAGCCATCAAGAATTTGACAAACAAGGTACTTTCATAATTATTCTACTACAAACTAACCAATACCATCCGATTTTCTTGCCAACCATCCACCTAGTTGCAAAAAATCGAAATGGATTAATCAGATTGGTTGGATCAGGAGTAGGTGGTCTGTTCGGCTTGGCAACATACATAAAACGGTTGAACTGTTCAAGAACTTAGAAATGTCAATCTTTTAATTGGAGCAATCTCGAACCAGCTGGACTAGAGGTCCTACCTGCCGTCTTGTTTTAAATGGTAGGCAGTAGGTTTTTACATGTAACCTGATTTCTTTTTGGCCATTTTCAGAATGAAAAAGCAATGAATGGTGCTGCTGACTCTGCTGAATCGGCATTGTTTTATCGGCACTGTAAGCATATATCACAGAAGCTGTCACGAGGCCATGGGTGCATCAAAACGTTGACTATCGGTGTTGTTGCATTAGCCGTGGCTACTGCCGTCGTATCTCCCAACGTTGACGTCCAGGAGTGGAACAAACTGTATGTTGTGTTTAGCTCTTGATCAATCTTCCCGTTTAAAGACTGTTTCCAGATACATTCTTTTCCTCAATTAAGAGGATCTTTTAACCGAGACTAAAACAGAGGTGTTTTAATATTGGGGTTTAGAGGGGAAATGTCTTAAAAGAAGCAAGGCAAGGCTTAAGGGTAAGGGAAGGGGAAAACCTTGCAATGAGTTTGGTTCATTACAATTACATGTATTTGAAGTAATTTAGCTCTTAATTTTTAATAAACTATATATAAATATATCATACATGTATGGGCTAACAACGATGAATTTTAAGCTGCACGTGACACGTCACTAAAATTGTTTTGATAAATAAATATGATGTTGGATTATATTACATGTTTTGTTTGATAAGATCAAGTTAGAAAAACAAGGAACATGTGTTTTTGTATCATTTTAGGTTATCTATTAAAAAAAGAAGACAATAAAAAATTAGCTGACCCTTATTCCTATATGTAATGGGGTAAGGGGAGGTAAGATAGTAGGTTGTCCCCAACACCAGGTTAGAGCAGCTTCTCTAGAAGACCTCTGAATTATGAAATGTCCTCCATGAGACTCAATCCTACGACCCCAAGATTAAGAACCTTATACTCTACCAACTGAGTTGGATGGTCAATAACATGCAAATTCCTCAATCACCTTCTGTTCATCGCAAATAACCTGAAATCCCAACTTCCTATGCCTATTGGTAACATTAGAATCTGAAAGTGACGCCTGTTTCTAAAGGTGACCAGGTTTTACATGCAATGTTGTATACCAATTGCTCGGATATTGCGCATTATCGGGGTGTTAGCATATATTTAAGCAACCATGGTATGTACTGTTGGATAGCATTCAACATATTTTCAAAAAACAAAAGATTATATACTCGTTTATAGGAAATATTTTAATTTCAATTTTGTTTGGTGTTAAGATAGCAAGATAACTAAATCATACTATATTTATCTATTAGCCGGAGGAGTTATATCTAAAAAAATATCTAACAAACACTTACTTTCTTCCACTATGAAAGCACGGGTTTGTACACTGTAGCATGCTATGAGACATCAAACCATTGAATATGATATAAGGTTATACATTTATTAGGCAAGTTAGAGAATGTTACACTGGAATGTTTAATTATGTGCATATATGTATATCATATAAACTATTATAAAATATGATATAAAATAAATAAGTAATTGTGTCATATGTATCATAGATATTAAAGTGTTATGAAAATAAAGTATAAATATCATAAAAAAATCACAATTTTTATTAATGACTCCATCTTTAATTATTTATATATGCTTAAGTAGTTAAATATGGTTGAAAATATTTGTTAAAAATATTAATTAAAAAGAAAAAAATCAATGAGTTATTTAAGATATACTTGGATTTGATTCCATTGATAATTAAGAAATTATAACTTAGTTTGATAATCATGGAGTTTAAATTAGTTGAATCTGAATTAATACACCAATAATTTACCAATGTGAAAGTTTTTTTGTTTACACCAAAACAATATATTACACACTTCAATAAGTCATTACATCAACCAATTTATAACTTTTATCAATATCAAAGTTTGTTTGGAATTTCGTTAGCTGTAAAATTTAACAATACAGTCGAACGAGCAAATTTTCTTACAGTACCAAACAATAACTTTCACAATACACAACATGATTTTCAAAGAAAGCTCAAGAAATCCAAATAACCTTAAACCCTAAAGTTTACACCTAAACTCAGAACTCAAGAAATCCAAAGAGCTCTAAACTCTAAGATTTACACATGAAGTACTCAAAACTCAAGAAATCCAAAGAACATCTGAAACTGCCATTTTTTACCCATGGTTTGACTCAAAACTCAACAAACCTAAAGAACCTTAAACCCTAAGAAAGTTCAACCGGTGACCCGGAACGCAAGATACTTTGAAGAAAACCCTAATGCATTGCCTTTTCAAAAAAAAAGAAGTAATTTTATCTTCCTTTGGTTGAACGTTTGTTGACAGGACAAGTCTTGGAAACCATCATCATCTTCTTGTTCGCCTTGTCGTTTTGGCGTGTGATAGAGAGAGTGCGCTTCGAGAAAGCAAGGCATTGACAGGCTTCGTATATTCGACTCCAAGAAGGGCAAGTTCTGCCGAGACGAGCAGCCTCAACAGGAGATAACATTGAAAGAATATCATACACGGCGTTGGCCTGAAGGAGTTCAAGACCCAACGTTGTCGGTGAGGATGATGATGGCGGCGGTGGTGGTGGCTGCGACGGTGGAAGAGACGACAGTTGCGGCTGCTGAGAGGAGCTTCTCTTTCGGTCAACAGAAGAAGCCATTGATGTAAAGCAAATCTGAGAGTTAAAACAATTGAAGCTTTATGGTGGTATAATCACGTAGCATATTATATATATATATAGCGGCGGAGCCGGGTAAACTCACGTAATAATGCACTCAAAATAAATAATTCACGAAATAACGTTCTCCTAAATAATTCACGAAATAACGTTCTCCTAATATTATTTGCTGAAATAGGGCGAAATCAACAGTGGCCGTAGGTCGCCATGCACTCCCAGCGACCTCCTAGGTCGCCATGCACGCCCGGCGACCAAGGAGGTCGCCATGCACTCGCGGCGACATCCCCTGCTGCATGCTCGCCTGCTCGCGACCTTGCCGGGACTCCATGGCGACCAACACATGCACGATCTCCCCATTCTTCCCATGCATGAACCGATCCTTGGTCGCCCCGAGTGCCCCATGCATGAACCGTTCCTTGGTCATCCTTGGTCGCCTCGAGTGCCCCATGCATGAACCGAGCCCCGAGTGCATGGCACGATCTCCCCATGCATGAATCCTTGGTCGCCCCGAGTGCATGGCGACCTCCTTGGTCGCCGGGCGTGCATGGCGACCTAGGAGGTCGCTGGGAGTGCATGGCGACCTATGGTTGGGTTGTGCATGTCCCATGCACAGAAGCAAGCCACGTCGTAGGTCACCCGGAAGGCATGGCGACCTACGGCCACACTGTTGATTTCGCCCTATTTCAGCAAATAATGTTGGGAGAACGTTATTTCGTGAATTATTTATTTTGAGTGCATTATATCGTGAGTTTAGCCCGGCGGAGCCAATCTTACTAAAGGGTATCAATGATATCCAATTTTTTTTTATTTTTTTATCTTAATAAATTTTA